TTTACAGCTCCATTATTTTCTGACGTTTTACATGTTTGAAAACAAAATGTTACTAACTTTCCTTCTCAGCAAATAAGATGGGAGCAGACAACAGACCTCAATCAATGTAATATTTTTGTAAAGAATGTAAATGAATTTGAAGGGGGTGGGAGAGGACACGTGTTCGTAACACACATTTAAAAATGTTTTTGCATTTATTTTTAATGGCTTTTATGCCCTCTCGTGTCAGTAAATGTTATTGCAACTAGGTTTTTTGAATATTGACAATTTTTTTCCTTAACTGTTTCTGTCAGTATCAGCCTAAACTATTTGATCTTTGTAAAAATGCACATCCTGGGTTTATTCCTATGATATATGTCCTATAGTTTCAGAGTTTTGCTGTAGAGGTCGTCGGGAGGGGGTGATGTTTCTATCCAAAGTAAGCTATTCCAAATATGAATTTCTGATATGTCAAACACATACAAAAATATTGCTAAATTAGAATTTCTGTGATTATTTATTTTATCCTGCAAAATACACTTATTTTTCTCTTGAAAAAAATTACTGCTGTGTTCAAACAAGCAGAAGCTAAATAAGCAGTGTTGTCCCTTTCATTTGTTAAGATTATTAAAGAAAAGACCTTCTCTGCTCACATCAAGGAAAAATGTCCAAAAAGTATGACTCATTTCAATTAAAATTCAGACCTTTGACTTATGAAATATTCCATCTCAGAGCCATCAAAAACCAGTCTTCATTAGATTCAGGAATGAGACAAATACCCGATGATGCTACAAAATACAGCCTCTGTTGTCTGAGATTTCTTGAATTCTGGGTATGCAACATCAGATATATTTCACTCATCAGTTGTTAGAAAAGCATTATTGCTTTGGCAGGTAGATGTCCATGGGTAAGCTCTGATATGGCAATGCTTAGGTTACAGATTGGGCATTTTTAAACCCAAATACATTCATGTTTCCCAAGCTCCTACAATAGCTCAGCCTTTTGTGTACATTACAACCTGCATTTCATGCCCCCAAATCTGTCATGCAAAGCACTAAGAAATTATGCCCATGTTACTCAGATCAGAACTCTGAAAGATCCAGTATTTGCAAAATAAAGGAATCCACTGGCTTGCTGTCTTCCTTTTCAGTAATGAGTCAAATATGTAAAAGTGGTCTGTCACCTGTTGAATACAAACAACTGAGACAAACACACATGCCTTTAAATCCATCCATCCTTGTACGATGTCACTTAGCAAACAGATATCCATGGACTGCAAGCAATAGCACATGTCTCACCTGTCTGGACTATGTCTAGTGAAACCCAGGCATTAGTTTGATCATGTAGTTTCTGACTTGTGATTTGATAAAACTTGACTGACACATCTAGTTTATCATAGCCTTTTTCCTTCCCTTTTTGGCTAATGAAGTAGAATGCACCTGATGATTGATAACAGGGATCAGTACATCTCTTTTTCTTCAGTCATCCAGAGCATACAATATTGGGATGGCACTTTTGACGTTACAAAATTAGATTGTCAGTACAAATCATAAATGCCCAAGGACTGACTTGAGCTTTGGCCACAATAATAGACATATATGGAACACACTATACACAAAGCTATGAAAAGACTGCAACTAGGAAAAAAGCACATAAAGGAGACTATATTTGCAGTTACAGTCTGAAGAGCAGTGAGACAAGCAGGGTAGCACTAGATAAAACCTTGAAATAGTTCCCTTTTGAAAAGTGACTCTGTGAAAATTGCTTAGTAAGATTCCCTATTTGTTGGGTCTCCATGACTGAAGAAATCAGATTTTCTGCAGAATTTAGAATTTGTTTTAGAGATCAAGTATAATTTTTCCACTTTGAAATACAAGCACCACAAAGCTACCCTGCCATTTGAAAATGGAGTACATTCTTTTTTAGTTTAGACTTTCGAAGGAATAAAGCAATTGCAGATGGGGTGAAGGAAGACATTTTCCATTCATTTTATGTCATCCACTTCCATTGGTGGTATTCAGTGACATATGAGGTATAACTAAAAGTAATGTTTAATCCAGCAGGAGGAACTTCATTAACAAGTCTGGTCATACCTACACTAGACTAAAATCTGTGTCACTGTACCAAAAGAGAGGAAGGCTAACCAGGGTAAATGTAGTAAAAACTCCATTTTGTTACAAATGTGAGCACATATGTTTCTCACCCTGTGCAGGAAGGCTAATTTCTTGGAAGTCATTTTTTCTGACTGTAATTTTATTTAAACATCTCCAACACAGTTTATCAACAGGAGCAAAACTAATTATATAAGAGTTATTAATGATGTGAAAGATATTATTAGCACTAAACAATCGACAAACAACATTACATTTGGAAAATGTCACCGTACTACAACTTATTCGAGCTGAAATAGAAAAATAATCAAAAGCAAGTTATTTTAAAATAAGCAGTATATCCATCTACCTGTCATTTTGCCCAGAAGGTGAGAAAAACATTGCAAAATACCTTCATGTATCAAACAAACGTGATTTTTTTATTTTGCTCCGTAACACTGAAATACTGTGAAAAGGCACCTTCTTATGTCAGTAGGTAGGTTCACACATAAATACTGAAATGTTAGCGGGGGATCAGCTAATAGTTCCTGTCACCACTCCTAAAGCATCAGTCTGCACTTGATTCACATAATTACAGTGTCACATTATCAACAGGATGAACTATATCCCTAAGCAACTTCAAACCAAATTAATTAGAGCCAGAAATGCTTTCTGTCCACAGCAGCCATCGGTGAAAATGTGAACTTCCAAAGGTTCAGCAATTTAGCACATCAAGCAACAGGCATCTAAATATAGGTTTAGGAATCTAATTTAAGAGATCTGTCCAGTAGTACTGGGCATGTGTAAATTTTGCATTTCAAGATCTGGTTGTGTCAGGTGTGTGTGAATATATATTACCTTTTAAATAGCTTTCTGTTGATACACTTTGATTCAATTTAAGAAAATACTTGGATCATATCTAAAAGGATGAAGTAAAACAGTAACAAATACAGTAAACCAGCAATGATGATCAGTGATATGATCCTAGGACTTCTCCCCTAAGCTCGCCACCCTGGCCCATGCCCACCACTCACCTCACCACTCTGCCTGAAAAAAAAATGGGGTTACTTAGGTGTCAGGGATCCCATTTGTCAAAGGGACGTTGAAAGGTCATTTATCCACTTCCCCGCCCAAAGGAAAGAACAGCTGGGCATGCATCAATCCTGACAGCTGATAGCCAGCTCTGGCTTTAGGAAGATAAGCACTAAAAATGTTTATGTTATGAGGAGCAAATGTTGACGTGAAGGAAAGCATGACTCTCTTTCTAGTATTTTTCCAGTTTTATACATCTTGTAATTAAGAGCAGCTATATTAAAAATTTATAAGATGGATTCTGTTACATTATGTCTTTTTATCCAATCCTGCATGTCACAAAATCAGAAACTAATAGCATTCAAATTCTGAGCAGGTGGAGGGGTTTATTGGTAGAAATATTAATGTATTTTTTCCTGTGAATATTTTACACTGGGCATGCTTTGTAAAGCAACTAAGCATTTATTTTACACAACATAATCTTTGTCAGTAGTCTAAGACTTGATCATCTATATTATATCTGCCTGGATGACAATTTATTTGAATGTTTACGTCAAAAACCTTCCTCTTATCTTACAAAAGCAAACCATTCATCTTCACCTACAAGGTGATACATAATCTCCTTTTGACATACACTGCGCTCTCATTGCTAAAAGGTGTCCTCTAACCCCATATAGATTCTCCACCATCTGATATCCTCATCCGTTTATTTCCACCTTCTCATGATTAGGTGCACAATTTGGACCATGTGACTTGAAGACTTCCCTCCATCTTGAACAGACAGGTTTTGTTTTCCAGAGAGCATTTTCCAAACACTGCCCCTCCTGCAGTTTTATTTTTTACCTTTTCTTGTGTTAACAGTTTATAAATTCTTTGCAATAGGGAATGTGCTCTCTCTCTGCTCACAAGCATACTAAACCCACATGCTACAATCAATGTTTAATAATAACTTAAAATCTAGTAAAGTTAAAAACAGAATGGTACTAGAAGGTAATTTATCTCTTTATTAAAATCTGTAGTATGTAGTTACATACTTGTCTATAGAATATGTCAGTCTAGAGAGTGCAAAGAGCTGATATCTCTTAATAAGCTGTCACTGGAGTGCCTCTACATACTTCAGCAGCACTATGTTCTTACTTGCTGGACGAAACAATATGCAGCATCATAAAGAAAGGTGGTAGCCCTAGTAATTCTGAGCACTGCCAGGATTCGCAGTTAGAATTTGTTTGGTTGGTTGCTTGCTTGTGGCTTGAGTTTTTCATGTTTGCTTTTGGCTAGACCACAGAAGGGACCTCTGGAGGTCAGCTAGTCCAGCCCTCCACTCCAAGGCACCCTGTCAACAACAGTAGCCATATTTTTGTCTACACAAATGTTGAAAATCTCCAAAGATAGAAAGTTCACGATCTCCTGGGCAACCTGTTCCAAAAATGCACTATCCTCCTCAATGAAAGTACTATATCAACTTAGTGAGGCAACAGATTATTCAGCTTGGCATCTGACTTACCAAGTGGTCTCCCTAGGATCTTGCCAATGGAAAGTGATGAGTTCTTCCCACAAGTAAACAGGGTAAGGACCTTATTTTGACACTGATTTTTTTTCCTTAGCAAGTCACTCTCTTTCCATTGCAATAAAGGCAGCCTGGGAAGACTAGAGCAGGGCAAACATAGACGCCCACAGTCCAATGCACAGGATACCCTACATTAGCTTGAAATTAAAAATATGTGTGCACAACACTGAGCAAGCTGCGTATGTATGCATATGTGTATAAAGTATTATTTATATGCAGTGATTATTATTTGCAAGAGAAGTAAAATCTATTGTGCAATTAATTAATCTTAAAATTCAATACTTTTAGAAGAGATTTTGTCTTTACTAAATGTTTTGTTTTCTTTAACCCAGGTATGGTGACATGGTGCCGAAGACAATAGCTGGCAAGATTTTTGGTTCCATATGCTCCCTGAGTGGGGTCTTAGTCATCGCTCTGCCAGTTCCTGTAATTGTCTCCAACTTCAGCCGTATCTACCACCAGAATCAACGAGCAGATAAGCGAAGGGCACAAAAGGTGAGCTCCTAATTTTTGCCCCTTTTGTTGCTGAGCAATAGATAAAATACGGCTTTTTATATGCTGTGCATTCTCAAAGTGGTTTCTTAGCAAGAGAACTGCTGTAGGTATGTGCTATATGCCTAGCCCGTGTCCCAGATGCAAATACTGTGTTATTTTTAGTGGGGGGAAAAAAAAAAAAGGTTCATTTACCTTTTCTGTCAAATTTTACAGATCTATTATTGTGGTAAATCATCCTACTTGTTAGATGAGATCTAGTATTTTCAGGCAATAGCTGCAGTCTCACCCACTGAAGATTTTTCTGTGCTTTTCAGGCAGACTTTCTTTCCACCAGAGTCTTCTGAGGAGAAAAACAACCAACCAACCAAACAAAAAAAACTAATAATGATTTCTAATGTCTATCCTAACAGCCTGCTTCACTAATCCATGTGTTTAATTCTCAGGTTCAGTCTCTGGGGACTTTGATTATTGGGGAACTTGTCTCCTCAGCTCTAGTTTGCTTAAAAAGCTTCAGAAAAAGAACTTAATCAGGAAGAGCCAAAAGTAAAAGTCTGTCTTTCAAGCTTCCTTGAAGTCTCTCACTAAAATACTAACCAGCTCTACACCAAGACAGTTTCCATCCCTGACCCATATGGGCAAGGTCAGCAGCCAGGAAGAACTATTTACCAGGAGAGATGAAGCCAAGCCTGGGCAGTCACTTTCATTTCCACATCACAGCCAAACTGCTAGTCCAAATCCACTTTGCCCAGCTCTATAATGCTAAGCACTTCAGATAGCCTCCATTGGCACCTGAAGCCCTGATAAGGGAGCCGAGAGGCATTACCTTCTGCTCCTCTGCTGGTGGCAGTCGGAAGGCTCTGGATGCCACGCAGACCTTGCCAAGGCCGCATTGTCACCACTTGGGCTGTTTGTGGTCCCATGGCCTCTCTTCAGAAGTTCTGAGTCTCCAGTGGTCCATGGAGAGCAGGATCGCTGCCCACAGAGGCGTGCAGGCAGGCTGTGGATGGCGATTGTGTACATAAACCAGGGAACACAGGCTACCACAGGCTGCATCTGCCTCATATAGACAACAGCACCAGATTTAGAGATACAAAATGTTTGTGTATTTCTTTCTGGCCTTTGACCGGAAAGGTCACCATTTTCACTGATGTCTTCATGGAAATGAAGTAAATGTACACAGTGATACCATTCCCAGAATATTTAAAAATCAGGAGAAACAGAGATACATGGCCAAGAAAGCCAGTCATAGGCCCAGGCTAAGACATTGTACCATTTAATGGGACATTTTGGAAGAACGCTGTCAGATAAGGAAAATGGCCATGAAAGAAACCAAGTGTATCACAGAACTGTCACACCTTTCTAGAAACCTGATTTCAAACATATACTGCTTCAGTGATCCAAATATTACACCTTACCTATCTACTAATTCCACCCACCCTTTTGCATGCTGTTTTCTCCCATGTACTAGTTCCAGCTGTGCACTCCCCACTCCCACAGCTGGAACATGCTGAGAACACGTCACTTCTACACTACATTGTTTTTGTCAAGAAATTTTCCACTTCTGTTTGCGTAATCACAGCAGACAAAGAAAGAACAGTATGTATCAGCCAGAACACGGTGCTTCGTTACTGTGCCTCCAAGCATTGCACCAGTCATGGATAACAGATATGCTTGATCCCAGCAATCAATGTGCCTGTTCTGAGTTTTCATAATAACTGCAGACACAACCAGCCTTACTTCAGATAGAAACTGTCTCCTACTGCATGTCAGGAAACAGAATTTTCTATGGCTGCTTTACACTTGCCAGTGAAAAAGAGACGGACACTAGAAAATACCTTGCAAAAATTAGATTGGCAGACTGGCTGATATTCCCCATAATCTCTTCCTGAATAGAAACCGCTTGAGTTAATAACTGTCTTTTTCTCCTTGCAAAACAGTGAGCTCCTTGTATGTTTCAAACAGGAATATGAAGTGATGAATGGCAATCCTGCCAAGTGTCTTTTCCTCTGCCCCCCAGAGCAATGCCAGCAGTAAGGATGAGAGATTTTCTCTGACCGTGTTTATGCCCTTCTTGATTTGGAGAAAATGGCTTTGAGGTCTGATTAACTTAGCACTGGATGAGTATTTCACTGATATCTCCTATTGCAAAGCTAATCTCTGTCAATCTGAAATGACTGAGATATTGAATGGAATATTGCTCTTACGGACTGAAAAAAATCAACAAAAAGCAATTCTTGGGTACTGTGTAGTCCATATTTAGCAATGTTTAGCTATGAAGTATAACCTTTCATTTCACAGGGGGGTGAATATTCTATACGAATATTCAAGCAAAAAGGTCACATTACTGAAGTTTGAAATTCCTTCTTCATTCAATACAATAGAAGATTTCCACAGTTTTCTAAAATAAATGTTTCCCTAGGCACCAATGTTATTTCTATTCTCTAAGGCTGAAGAACATAAGCTTGAAAGAAGGTGCTGTTTCATGTGTTTCATGGAGCACAGCATGAACTGCTGCAGGCGATGGTACCTCCTGCTGGCTACAACAGCTTCCATCTGATTGAGAGAGTTGGACATCTGAATTGTGCAACTTACTTTATCAATATCTCATACAGAAGTTTAATCAAGGTAGTCTTCAGAAATGGCAAAACATTTGGGCTGCAAGGAAACTTAAGAGAAAATTCTCTGTTGAAGAGCTGAAATCTAGTCCCAGGACCATTGGCAATTTTCAGCAGAATAATTTTGTCACTTCTGTTAGGTTTGTTCAAGAGCTGTGCACCATCAGTACATGCATTTACTGAGTTCTGCACAGTCATTCAAGATTAGACAATTCCATTTGTTTCTTTTTGGCAAAAAGATACTGCACATTAATTCTCAGGAGAAGATGGAAGAGAGAGATTTATTTATATACTATATCATTTTGAATGCATTTTAAAGGAAGCTCCTGCTTCCAACCATGGAAATACATTGTTGTAAAAGAAACCTCAATGTAACAAAAAAAAAAAAAAAAAACGAGAGAGAGATGAAAATAAAACACAAAGAAAAATCATCTGTGCTTATGAGAACACATTCTTCTATCCTATCTAACACCTTCTATAAGGTCCAAGGAACTGACCTATCCTGAAAATAAATAAATAAATAATCCAAAATGGATATTGGAATTCAGGGCAGAACTACTTATGCCCTGTAGTCTTACTATGCCTTTTCCGCAAGCAGATTTATCACAGCTGAGACAGTTTTGAAGAATCTTATTTGTGGAGCTTTTCTCAGCTAGAGACAACGTCAAGAGGCCAAGTTGTTTTGGCTGCCCATCAGCGCCTTCAGGTGGCAAGGCTAATGACAGATGTGTTGTGATTGGCCCATGAATAAAGGAAAGGAAAGGAAAAAGGAAAGGAAAAAGAAAGGTTTAGGTAAGCTTGGATACAATTTCCTGTTCTGTGTTTGATAGGTATCAAGGGTTAAGATATGGCTAGACCCTTACAGTGTCAGATTCACTGGAATGACTGCCAGCACAGGGAAGGGAAAGGAGGAGGCAAAGCTACCCTCTTGGGACAGGTGTCTGCTCCATCTCGACGTACTGCAGCAGCTCTTGTGATGACAATGTCCTCCTTACCCTGAATGAAGTATTCCTTGCTAGATGCCTTCCCTGTTTTCCATACATCTATTTTTCTGCATCTTTTGAAGGCAAGAGCCTTGTATCTTCTTAGCCAGCAAGTCCTAAGTGCGGGTCCATCTGCACATTATTGTTCATTACCTATAAGGACCATTAATTTTAGGTGCCCAAGCACTTTCTCCCTAGAGTGATTTTGCATGGTGCCTCAACAGAACACCCAAACAACTATCATCAGCTGCAAAACCTGACTTAATACATAAAATTCAACTTGAATCTTTCATGTGATCATGGTCTTCTACCTTCCCATAGCAAAATATATCCTGAAGATTGGCTTGGCATTATTATTTATTGATCGTACATGATGTATTTGTCAAGTTATGAATAATTAGTTACTAGATATATACGAATAGCTCCAGGATAAATTGCAACAACAACTGCTTAACAGCACCTGGCAGTCTAGATCTGAGCATTTGCAGTAGGGAACCCTGATAGCCATTATGACTTATTTAAATGAGATAGGCTATTAATCTCAGTGGGGTTGCAGAGACATAACTAATAGAATAACTTACCCAAGATTTTTTTAATTTAGCACAAAAGCATGTAAAATTTGTGTTTACTGAACAATAATTTGAATAGATTGTGAAAGCAAGGCACAACTCAACAAACATATGAACCTTATTTGATTCCATATCCATTAATGTACAAAGTAAACAGCATTTTCTTCTCTACTGCATGCTGACATCCTATAAATTATTGTCAGCTAATCTGAAGTCAATTATTTGCAATTACTGAAAGTTAGAAAATCAGAGCATGAAATGTGGGCTTGATTTTTCACTTGAAAACAAACATACAGGATGGATTTATGAAAGGCCAAACAAAAAATGATATAAGCAACTATGTGACTGATATTTGGACAATTATTTTGGCTATTGCTGTAGGAGCTGCAGTGTTGTGGTTTAACTCCAGTAGGCAGCTAAGTACCACCCAGCTGCTCACTCACTCCCCAGTGAGATGCGGGGGGAGAATCAGAAGGGTAAAAGTGCAAAAATTCGTGGGTGGGGATAAAGACAGTTTAATAATTTTTTAAAAGCAGGGGGAAAAAAACAAGGGGCGGGGGAACAAACCCAAAAAAAAAGTGATGCAAAAGAAAACAATTGCTCACCACCGACTTACTGATGCCCAGCCTGTCTCAGAACAAGGGCAGCCCCTGCCAACATCCACCCCCATCCAGTTTTATTGCTGAGCATGATGTCATATGGTATGGGATATCCCTCTGGTTAGCTGGGGTCAGCTGTCCCAGCTGTGTCCCCTCCCAACTTCTTGTGCACCCCCAGCCTACTTGGTGGGACAGCCTGAGGAGCAGAAAAGGCCTTGACTCTGTGTAAGCACTGCTCAGCAGTAACTAAAACATCCCCATGTTATCAACACTGTTTTCATCACAAATCCAAAACATAGCCTCATACCAGCTACTATGAAGAAATCTAACTCTATCCCGACCAAAACCACTACACACAGAATGACTGTGAAGGAATTCTTATATTTTAATTGTACAAGATCATTAAAAAATAATAACCATAAGGTAAGTAATTATTAATTTTTGAGTTTTGATGGCAAGATAGTTATGTAGTCTGGAGAGCAGCAGAAGAGAGAGACAAGAGGAGCTATCTAAGTACTAAATTACCTAGGCTACCTAGGCTTCTTGCATAGCAAATTGAAGAGAGGCTCCTGCCAAAAATGATTCCTAGTATCCCTGCCCTAAAGTGTTCCTGATAAAATCTCTCTCTTAACACAGCTGAACAGCTGAGGGCATGTTGAGTGTTAAAAGCTGGATGTTGTAAATACCCCATAGTGATACTTTTAGCACTCTTTAAAACCTTGTGTAAATTGATGTTTGTATTTCTAAAACTGACAGAGCTAGCTGTTGTTGAATAAGAGTGAATTCCCTTTGTAAGGTTTCTATAAATGCAGCCATAGACAAGGATCCACCTCTAAGTTGTAAAATTTGAAGCTAGGAAAAAAAAGCAATGCATTCAAAAGAGAAGTTCAGTGCAAATACAAAGGATGTGATAAGAATTAGAGCTGATCATCAATTTCTTTAGGAAGTTTCAGATGAGATGATTATGGTGGAATTTCATCAGAGTAAGTAAAAGAACTGTATTTCAGCTATGTTGGTTTTATCCTAGACAGCATAAGAATTACCAGAATCAAAGTTTCATATTCAACAGCTAACAGGGAAAACCTCATAGCAAAGACGACAATCTACTGCAGAAGAACTTAATCCTTTCTTTTCTAGACATTCCATGAAAGGGGAGAGTTAGGAGGGGCTTTGCAGTGGTTGAAAGGGGCAGTTATCACTCCCTTTCTGTTGTATATGGCAGAAAATGCAGTTCTTCTGTAATCATAATTTTCCTGATGTTATTACATCATTTTGGTATGCTTCATGGGAATCCAATCCCCAGCACACAGCCCTTAAAATCCTGTGGCTGACATGAGCTTTACATGATTCCTTGATAGGAAATATGAGGAGTCACTAGACTACTCAGGTTAAAGGCTCTGATATAAATCAGGCAGAAGCACTGAAAAGAAATCTTAACACTTTAACAGATTTGTAAACACCTCCAGTTTCAGGAGTATTTTCTGTAAGCTGAAGTATAAGCAAGGAAGCCACAATATCTGGTTCCTGTCTTGGTAATAGATTTATTGTCTTCTCTTTGTTAAATGACGTAAATTCAGGCCATCTGAATGAGTCTCAGCTAGAAAGATGTAAGCTATTACAGTCCACCGCATAAAAGCTTTCTAAGACACAATAAATTCATATTTACAAAGCAATTTGAAATCTTCACATGGAAAGTACAACCGTCGTATTATATGTGTTGCAGCACATTGATATATTAAGATAGCCTGATGAACCGTTATATTTTTTATATTTCTTTATTAAATGGTGCTGCACAATAATTATTACTTCAATCACTGAAAGAGAAAATGAATATGCATGCTAAAAGGAAAAGCATAACTAATGTATGTAAAGTGTTAGTTCATTAAATCTAATGAATCTTCCTGTATAAAGAGCACACTGAAAAGTACCATAGCTAAAAAATTTGTGACTGAAATAATTTATTTATGGGACTCCATGTTGTACCCTGGAAAGGCATCTCTAAAGCATCTCAAGCTCCTAAGGCTAAACAGTAGTGCTAAGAGAGACCTTTAATATATTTATGAACATAACCCAGTGCACATGTCCCAACCCATGAGTATTCTGCGGTGCAGGTAAAGCTCTTCCCCCAGCCTTCAGCCTGTCATGCTGGTGTTGCGTCTGCAGAGCTCCACCTTGAAAATAACCTATTTTCTGCCTGTCCAAGGGGATCTTTAATTGCCATTCCTGAGGACTCAGCCCTAACAACATCATTGGCCCTGGATATGCCACCAAGGAGCCTGTGTGAGCCCAGCGGGTCGGAGCTGTTAACCATTTCCCCCACTGGTCGGCTCCTGGGGACCCCAGGCCAGCCCCACACGTTTCCCTCTCGGGTGGCTCACTACAGCATGCCTGGCTGCCCAGGGCTGGTCAGCCGTGGTGCTCAGTGAAAGAGCCCTGACTGGACATTTACACCCAATTCAGTCTCTGGGAACCCACCCAGGGTGAGGGAGTGTGGGGCTGCAGGTGTCCTTTCAGTGCTAACAGGAGGAAGGGGAAGGTAGGAATTCACCTGTGCAGAAGCACTGTGCAGGTGACCCAGGCACTTCACTCCTTACCACTAGAATAAGGTGCGTTAACTGCATAGCTGGAAAGGCTGTGGACACCAAGGAAGGTGACAAACCAATGTGTTATTCTAAAATGGTCAATATATCACAAAATCAGGCAGTAGCCTCTCATGAGCTTTTTGACTTAGTAATGCACACATGCACAGCATTATCTTATTTTCTTTCAGAACAATTAACAGATAATAAATACATGACTTATAACATAAGCCAGATTCTAGCCATGTTTGCTGTTAGCTGTCGTGAATTTCTTGGCTCGCTGTTGAGAAGATCTGTGAGTTTGAGCCTGTGAGTCCGAAGTGTGGTGTTGAGTCATTCCTCATAGTCAGTTAATTATTAATCATGCCAGAGAGATCTGGCGGCTGCAGTGACCGAGCTGCTTCCCTCTATAAGTGTTCAGGGATTTTCAATCATTTCATGCTGACAATTTATGCCACAGAAATTGTGTGTGTGTGTGTGTGTGTGAATGCTCCCTCTATTTTCTGAAAATATCAACTGAGTAATTATCAGATATGAAAAATCCCTATTAATATATCAAAGTCAGTTTTTCACGTTCTTCACTGTTTCTCTTTCTGTGCTTCAGCAGCCATTCAACTCCAGATGCTGCTCAGCATTTGGCTTTCAGAATCAGAAACCAATGCATGAAGATAAACCCAGATGCTCTCTTACACATGTAACCAGCCACAAAAATTATGGAACCAGGATGCCATCCTAGAAACCCCATAAAAGATTCTGTTTTCCATATTATTGGTTGAAGGAGTCTTTTGTTCACACTTTCCCCTAATGTTGGCTTTTAACTGTTGTACAGAAGTCAGTGGATGCAAAGTGTCCTTCGCTCATGAGCCACCTTCTACTCTGGAATGAAAGTCACCTTCATAAGCAATGAAGCGAACCTGAGAAAATTCAAATCTCTCCCAGCAATTTGATGTCTGCAGTCTCTAAAAAATCAGGTTATGGACAGATTATGACCAATAATGGCAAGTATTAAGTCTGATTATACCAATAGACACGAAGAGGTAAAAGGGTTTTTAAAAGGCCTGGCAAGCATTCAGGAACTTAGCTGGGAGACAGCATAAAAAAACACTGTCACATTCCGCTACTCTAAAACCCCAGAAGGCTCTGAGCAACCAGCACATGGCGGTTGCAATATTAGGTTTTTCTAAACCATTTCTTCCCCTTTAAAGAGATTTTCACCACAGGAGCAGCTGAGATGGATGCCCATGTTCCTGATCCACGAGGCATAAGGAGCAGCACAGTTGCAGCAATGCAAAAAAAAAGGAGGCACTTACACGCTGATCTGTCTAATCGCTTCTCCAAAATCATTGTTCTTATTAGCTTATGCATGTAAACAAATAAAAACTTCTGTCATTTGCATTTTAAATAGGAAGGCACTTATGATTTGCTCCACCTGGAGGACAGATGCAATGCAGTCTTTCCGTGGTTATGATATTGGTATTCATAAGCAGCTGATTCCAATTAGCAGTTTCAGATAAACAGAATAATGGATATGAGTATAAGTGACACTCTTCCTTTTTTCTATTTACACAGAAAGCTAGACTTGCTCGAATTCGTGCAGCAAAGAGTGGGAGTGCTAATGCCTACATGCAGAGCAAACGAAATGGCTTACTGAGTAACCAGCTGCAGCAGGTAATGTTTTTATATCCTCCACCTCCAGAGAAACAGCTTAATGACAGCCCAGCAGTGGCTTATTCTATTTATCAACAGGGAAAGTCAACTTGGGTCTTTAGGCAATGTTATCTTTAGAAGTAGATTAAGGAAGGATAAATTGGACAATTACCATTGTTAAAGGAAGCTTTTGAGAGTCAACGATGGGGTATTAAAAGATGAGGAAAATCGACAGATAGAAATGCTGGATTCAAATGTAACCCACATTTTTAGAGTTAGATCCCATAGAAGGCGTCATTAATAAAGTACAGTGTTTGCCTCTTAGGAGGTAGGTTGGATTTATCTCATTTAGCTTTAGACAAGTAGAACATGGGTGACAAAACCAGGCTTCATCGTCAGTGAGGGAAAG